GAAATGCTTATACGGCGTTTGAGAGTAACAACTCTATTTAACAACGCATTCAAAACATATTTAACAAAAAAATCTTCAACATGCTCTAGGAGAAAAAAATATAATAAGAATGCTTAAGAAGATGAGTATAAAATACCTTACAATCCGAGCTAAAACGAAAAGCAGTAAAAAAACAGTTAAATATCAAGTACAATGTTTGTCTAACGAAACAGATCATGGTCAGAGAAAACCCAGTTAGTCAAAGTCGGTCCTAAGATTTTGGGAACCTTAAACAAAAAACAAATAAAAAATTAGATTTAATAAAAAATTAGATTTATAAGAGAAATATTTATATATGAGAACAATTGCTAAGATTTTAAAAATCTGGAGACATATTCATGCAAAACAGAAACAAATCAGGAGTCTTTTTCTAATAATAAAAAATCAGAAAATTTGGGTTGGCCTATGATCAGGCCGGCCCTGCAGCTAGTAAAGCTCAATGGCTTTTTTTCCTTCACTCAGATATTTTTTTCTCATCTCACTTCACTTCACTTATCTTCTCGACGAACTATCGATTTTTTAGGTATGAAACGTTCATAACTTCTCACACAGAAGAAGCACATGGCCACTGGGCCCAAGACTAGCTAGCCATCGGTCGATGCACCTCTCAAAATTTTCATTTGCTTTGAGGTTGCCCATTCTTGGATGACGATGGGTAATTAATTTGTACCCATATTTCTTTAGCAGTAAAGGAGCAACATCAGAGGTCTTGACCACTGCAAATTTGAATTTGAATGTTTTTATCAAAAGATTTTGATCAATCTGAGCGAGCAGCTTCTTTGGAGTAGGGAGACGCATGAGATCCGTAGTTCCAAACTGCTTCGTCACGGCAGACAGACCTCGAGCTAAGACATATGCCCAACAATCATTATATTGTTGAATGGCATTTTCTGATATTAAATCAGGCCGCTTTTTTCTCCAAGTTAGGAGAACTTCACGTGCATCTAAACACAACTGAGCAAAACCAAACAAAACACCAAAATCAGAAAGAGATCATGCAAATAAACAGAATAATATCATCGAAATTGGACAAAACATAACCAAACAAAAGATATCCAAATTTGACAAAACAGAACTAAAGAGATACAAGTTCATATCATTACCTTTAGGAGATCAACGTCTGGAACAGTGAACATATGCTTTTTTAACGCTGTTGACTCAAAATCCGCTCTTAAACCTCCTTCATTAGCTTCATTTCCTGCATTGAATAGAAGAAAAACACTTATAAAAAAGAAATACAAAACTGTACAAACATAAACTATACAAAATTGTTTAAGAATATGAGAGTAAAGTGGAAAACAACGAATACAAATTTGTTTTGACAGGAAGCTATTCCTTAGATTCCTTCAGTTTAGAAATAGATGGTTCTCTTTCAACCTTCTTTTGAAATGTCTTCTTGTGTTTTTTACCTTCTTCTGTTTGGCTTCCTCCTCAGACTTGTTAGATGACTCTCTTTCAACCTGTGAACAAACACAAGTGCTTTCTCTTAACATTCTAGGTTCTGTTAACAAGGAGTTGTTCAACTTTCTAGATTCGTCAGAATCTCATCTTCTCATGAGATCTTTTTTGTTTTTTTTCTCCTTCTTCTGAGTTCCTCCTCAGACGCCTCGTTAGATGCAGACACTTTCTTTTCGTTCGAATCCATGGTGAGGAAGGCA